CTTTATGCCCAGTCCCCCTCTTCACGGCGGTCCCTTTGGCCCACAGGTTTTTCATACAGAAACAAAGGAAAGTGACTGCGGTCTTGCTACTTGTCTGTATTCTCTTGCATAAGCAAGGAAACTGAGATAATCTGATTATGACTATTACATCTAACTAAAACAAACTTTTGCCTAATGAAACTTTGTAATATTTCGATTGTTCAAAGTGTGTGCCAGCAGCGCAAAACTATGGTGTGGGGAATTAAATTAAAGCGCTTATTGTTTGAATGATGACAGGACTACCTCAGCTTATATAGGCCTAGGTAATTTGATTTGATCATGCTGAACGGATAAAAATATGGTGTCAGTAGAATGAAGGCAGTGATGTCATTCTTGATCAGTCAACCAGTGTCTGCCTTGTGCCACCATTGGTCCACCAGCCAGCTGCCTTGTGCCCTCATCAGCCAATCAATGGCTGCCTTGTGCCCCCGTCCACAGGGCGCGAGCGGAATGTCCGTGGATGAGAAGCCTGAGGCCCCCATGTATGTGTATGAATCGACGGTCCACTGCTCCAACGTGCTGCTGAGCCTCAACGACCAGCGCAAGCGCGACGTGCTCTGCGATGTGACCGTGCTGGCCGAGGGCAAGGAGTTCCGGGCGCACCGTGCCGTGCTGGCTGCCTGCAGCGAGTACTTCCTGCAGGTGCTCGTGGGTCAGGCCGAGCATGAGCTGGTCATCGGCCTGCCCGAGGAGGTACGTTGATCCGCTGTCACCCTGGCAATCTTTTTCTGATAATTCGTTGTTTTTATTATATATTATAAATGATTGTGACACAAATTTATGAGTTACAGATTAATGGAGGAAAAAATTGTATGCTGTGCAAATGGTCTAACAGCATCTGAACCGTAGAATGGTCTGTCTCACAAGAGTAGTTTTATACTCGATTTTTTTTTTAACTACAATCTGAGGGGTGGAACTCTTCAGTCTATTTAATAGTAAAGGTTACATATTAAAATAGGGTTCTGGTATTCAACAGCAAAAGAATCATATGTAGACATCATTCCAGCTCGCTCAGTCAGAAATGGGACCTGGATCATGTCTCAGGACGCAGGTAGGATTGATGTCCATATAAACTCGCACAGGCTTGTTACGGGAAACACAGTCTCCGGCTGAATAGGAAAACCGCTGCTTGGAGCCCAGCGAAATGTTGGAAATACAGAAGGGAAGGGAATGCTTGATGGAGAATTTCAGTATTTCTGTGTTTAAATCTGGCACATGACTTTACGAAGTATGTAGTCATGGCAAAATAATAAAGATGCCTGCTAAGTAAACACATTCGAAATGTTTAACTAATGTTTCCATCCATCTATCCATCCATCCATCCATCCATCCATCTTCCAACTTCTTATCCAGTACAAAGTTGCAGAGAGCTTGAAATCTTTATCAGGAAGCTGGTGTTTATCATCTTATGATACAATAGAATGTGAAACATAAATAAAATACTAGAGAAATGTAAAAGAACCTGCTTTTATTTGTACCTATTTTTAATCTATTAGTTATCTTGATATTATTATGAGAGCTTTTTGTTTAAAATCTACCAAATGCAAGAGAAAGGAATTAGCATAAAATGTCATGTTGACAATGTAGGATTTTTGGCGCTAAATAAGCTCACATACAGACTCAGGTCAGCAGACATTAAAAGCTAGAGACACTTGTGTTGTGTCTGGTCAGCGATGTCTTTCCTGAGAAGAGGTGGCGTTTGCAGCAGCCGTAATGCTGCTTAATATGAAGCTGATGCAGCCAGAGAATTTTATTGTAATTTTTCTGGTTAAGTATTTGGTTGGTGATCTCATTTACAGTCATTCAGGATCGGGCCGTTTAGAATTCCCAAGAACGCCTCGTTTTTGACAAATGTTTGCATATCCACAGCTGATTTTGTTTATCTCTTCGTCACGATATGAGTGCTTCCAGCTCTTATATGTAGCTGTTTTTAAACTGACACTTTTAGCTGAAAAGGTTCACATCTGAGCGTTGAACTAAAGGCTAAAAGCAACTGGATCTCCAGTTCAAATCTTTAACCAACACACTATGCTGCCTCCTATAGGCAGACTGTTGCATTTACAACTTAGATCAGTTATGCCGGGTTTGTTTAAGTTTTATTTAGGATGGGATAAGTTTCATAAGCTATCTTTGCTGGAGAGATGCTGTCCTAAGTTTTTATATGTGGTCAAAATGATCCGGACTGAGCAATTCCCTTATTAATTTCATGTAAAATATATGCTATTCTCTCTTGCATTACATGATTTCTCTACACAAGTGGTGTTTTTAGCCAGTTGCACAACACATTCTTTTAGACCTCATGGTTTTAATGGGGGGGGGAGTCATAAGGTTAGCTGAGATATTTCTGCCAGCCTGCGTACAAATTTTTCATATGTAGTAGACACTTTCGTGCTCAGTAGCCTCACCAGAATGAGTGGCATGCTGTTTTTTTTTTTCCCAGGGAACCTTTGCATAAATTAGTGTTTTCCACAGGGAGGCAGACAATTCTTTTCTTTGAGCTGGGCTAGAGAACAGCATTCCATGGGCTGTTTGTGAAGAGATCTTGGCGAGCCTCCCAGGATTCCTGAAAACAGGGCCTGGTTTCCGAGGCCCCATGATTTGTTGTTCACACGGTTTTCTTGCCCCGTAACGATATCGGCACTCCAGACTTTGCACAGCACAAAATCCGCACCGCCCTCCCACTCGGATCCCTGCTGCCATAAAATGTCCCAGAAATGTCACTTTGATTTATCTCGCTGACTCGGAGCCAAACAGTAAATTCTATTCGGGGCTTAAATGTTTCACATGTTGAGGTCTGTGTGCTCATGATTAGAAGCCCTGCTTTGTTTCCTGCTTGAGTGCATGGCCTCCCTCCTCCTCCGTTTGCTGCCCATCTCAAGCCGGGACCCTCGTCCTCTACTCTGCCCCACACATCTCTACAACGGAATGGCTTCATTAGGTCACCGCTCGTAATGCTAAAGGAATTGCATGCAGCACGGTGAAGGAATAAAGACCTTCTCCTGCTGGCAACAGCTGCTGACGCAAGCTGAAAATAGATCCAGCAAATGCTCAGCACTTTCAAACCCCCCCCCCCTCCCCCCCCATCACCAACAAATCCCATCCATCTTTATGAGGAGGCCAGGGAGCTGAAACAGGCCCGGGGGGCCTGACTCGAATGAGACGGCTTTGGTCTTTCTGGAGGGGGTCACCGCGTCCCGGTGAAATTGGACGCCGGGGTGTGAGATGGCTGGACGCAGGGCTGGGGGGCTCTGCTCTCGTTAGCCACGTACTGCCTGGTCAGGATCCAGCTATGCCAGATGACCACGCCTACCACAGCGCGCACAAACAACCTCACGTGCTGCCACAAAGCCGCCCTTTTCATGCCCGCTTACTCATAGACGTCCCTATCCTTTGACACCGTAAGGCGGAGTGAATAAACACAACTGCGAACCTCCTGTCCTGGGCCATTCTTTGTTGTTGGCCGATGCCTCTGGTAGCTGCAGAGGACAGATTCCTGGGCTCCTGGTCTTCGCTGAGGACAAAACCGCTTGTGGTTGTACCACTTCTGCAGACATGAAAATCCCATAATTGATGCTGTTTCTGCTTTACCAATGATATTTTTCTTTTTCTTTTTTTTGTCTGTTGAGTTCTAATACTGCTGATGTACTCGCAAGAAATGTACTACATCGAAACTTCATATCCCTTTAGAAAATAGTGATACTTCCTTGTGCATCCTGGCATGTGCTTCAAGAACATTCTGGTCCTCTACTGAATAAGCAGTTATGGAAATTAATGGATGAATGACTGGATGATGAGGGATGATACTTCAATGCATTATACAGTCTTACATCTCGGATGACGTATGACAACATTTTGACAGCTCATAAAGTTTTACTCCCGAACCCTTCTTGTTATACCATTTAGTGCACTTTTAACATGTGCTAACATGTTGGCATTCGCCAACCAGGGGTAGGTTTCCTAAAATCTCCCTTTACCAACTTACACATTTGGAACTGTTCAGTTGTGTGGTCGCAACTATCTAAGATGCTAACGTTGTTAGCAGCTATGCTTTTGGGAAACGATCCCCAGAGCAATCATCTCCGTGGCCATTGTAGTTGCTGGGTACCTTTGCTTCGTTGTTTATGGTCTCCTATGTCGGGTGGACTTTCTTTCTGAATTTCAGGTTCTCCTCATCTTCCTGCCTACTCATGAAACGTACTTCATCCTTTGTTCACACTGCTCTGTTCCTCCTCACTTTCCCACTTCCAGCTGAAGTGCTCTCCCTGGCAGTCCGAGGGGCCCTCAAGGTTACTTTCACTATGTACTTCTTCTGTTACCTGTGTATTTTTTTTTTTCCTTCCCATTAGCGATTTGTTCTCTAACCTGAACTTCTCACCTTTTGTCAGTAACTTAAAGCCACAGGAGACTGAACCGGTGCAACCGCGTCTCCAACACACATGACCCTGGAACGGTGGCAATTCTTGGGGGCTCCCAGCAGGTTGGACTGCTGTCATGCTTCAGGGGGCAGGCTGGGGTGAATTTTTGGGCTGTTCCCCAACTCATAGGAGCCCCAGGCAGGGTGTGAAGGTGTTGCTTCAGTTTCTGATGGGTCAGGTTATGGATCCAAGTAACATGACCTTCAGAGAGCACAGGTTTTGTTTACTACAGCTAACTCTGATGCTTCATTCATATTTAGTTGACAGAAAAGCAAGAATGGGCTTGTCAGTCAGAATACAGATACTCAGATAAAACTGTAGAGATCTCAAGGGGAGTTTTGGTTCTGAAAGATCTTTGGAGTCTTTACGTTACATTCATGGTGGACCTTTGAAGTGTGTATCGTGTGTTGTCCTACATTCTAAAAACTCTACGTGAGTGTGCACTTCTTGCTAATGTATGACATACATTATAGTATATTTAAAATAGCATGTACATGCATGCATGCTTTTAAGCTGAGTGTACCTCCAGTACAATGATGATATCATTCTGAAAGTCTCGGTAACTATATTAGATAGCAGATTTAGCCAGTTGTCTTACAGTGCCTAAAGTCCATGGTGTTTTTTTTGACATTTCAAGATTTACCATATCTAATGAATGTTGTCAAATTAGATTTCAGCCATTGGCATGCAATATTTACATTGATTGTGTTCATTTTAATTATGCTCAAAAGCAGCACACCTGTTATAACAGAAAAATACAGACAGTATATTATAACTCATCTTGACAAGAAATAGGCTAATACTCTAATGCACTAGCAGATGTAAAAAGTGGAAGTACTTCTGAGATACTTCACAGTGATAATATTATTATTTGGTAATGTTCTGTGTAATCTTTTATCTGAAAACCTACTGACATGACTGCACAATTCTGCACGCTACTTGTATGAGCACTTGTATAATTATTCCTCATGAATATTTTGGCTGACTGTCCCACATTTTAATTAACTAAAGGTTTACTATATGTTGTCAGCTCTAGTATCGCTGTTTCAAAATCAGTGAGCAGTTTGCTTGTTTTTCTTCGCAACTTACTGAGCCAGTTTTTTTCCCTGTGGAAAACTCTACACAAGAAATTCTGTGGTTTGCTGCTTAAAGTAATGAGGCCCTTGTTTATCTAGAAAGGATCCTGGTGTTAATGCTGTAAAGTATGTACTGTTTTTTCTCTTTTTTTTCACTAATAGGTTTTTTTTTTTTCGTAAGAAACTACCATCAGTAATAATTAATAATTTTTAAATGTTTCACCCTGCAATGAATCACCCCAGAACTGAAACAACGCTGCATAGCGATATCAAAAATGGGCAGTTTTGACTCTTGATCCTGTTAAATACATAACTCAAAAAGTTTTTGATGGATATTTTCGGCATTTGCAGACATGTTGTTCAAATTTTGAGACAAATTGCACTTAAATTGTAGGAGCACTGCATAATGATAGCCAAGAGCAGACCAGCTTAAACATTTAATCATCAACATGACAACTCAAAAATTATTCGGCTGACCTTTCCAAACTTTGTAGATACATCGGTAAAGATCTGAACTATACAAATTACATTTGCATTCATTCAATCATGGACATTAAAACATACACAGAGGAATACAAGTAACCAAGTGGGCAAAGGTTCTGCAAATTAAAATACAAGTGGACTGTACAATAAATTAATAAGTATACTTTCAGACCTACATATCACAACAAGGACTCAGCATTTAGGTAAAAATACATTTATTAACTTTTACAGGTGATTCATGTAGTACTTCCAGAAATTGCACAGGTTAGTGATTGTAGAACTAATATGACTTACATAGCCAGACCAAATGCCTGGGCTATCCATGGAATTCTAGTTAATATTTGCTACCCATTTAATGAAGTTAAGTTTAGAAGAATAAAGTTTTTCCAGAATTTTGTGACTGTGACCTCTGTGTAAGCTTCGGCTGTGAAAATCATTTATTATAAGCTGTAGGACATGTGTAATGCATAACTGAATTAAGGTGTACAGTCCAAACATGTCTGTTCCATTAAGACAAAAAAGGGGTGATTCGAAAACCTTTTATGGTGGGGGGAGAGGCATTAGAGGAGCCGTAATTCATACATAGGATCCAACCTTATGATTAAGCAATGATACATTTTGAATGGGTGAGTGATGAGGGAAGGGCCACTCTGCGGGCCAATCAGCTTTGGCCCTGCCCCATGTATAGGACCATGGAAGAATATCTAGGCTGTTTGATCAAGGTCAAAATTGTGTTTCACTCAGTAGAGCTATTTTCCACAACCCCATCTTCACATCCGTAACCCCATCCCATACTACCTGTCCAATGTCTTCCGCCATTCCCCTGCTCTTAACAAAACCATTGGCATGGTTTGCCAAAGAATTGGTGACATAGAACCAGGGGGATTGATCAGGTGATTCATGCAATATTGCAACTCAATCACGTGTCAGGATCAAGGTGAGGTTTGTGGCCCTTAATACCTTAATACCATGCAAAGTGTGACCACTGTGGCAAACCGACATGCTGTTTGGGTTTTTGTTATGAAAATAGACAAGGTCCGTTGGCAGGGCTCACTTCCAGGTTTTTTTTTTCACAGCACTATCCTGATAAAAGATGAACTGGTGTGGCCACTAGAACTGTCAGGTTGTTTCAACACACTCCAAGAGTCAAGAATAAAAACACGGCTGATGGTAATGCTGGCGATTTCCCTGTTCCTTTGTTTTTTGTAGGTTACTGCCAGGGGATTTGCCCCATTGTTGCAGTTTGCCTACACTGCTAAGCTGTTACTGAGCAGAGAAAACATCCAGGAGGTCATTCGCTGTGCCGGATTCCTGCGCATGCACAACCTGGAGGACTCCTGCTTCCGCTTCCTGGAGGCCCAGCTCCTGAGCAAGGGAGACGGCCTCCTGCGGTGCCGTAATGTGGAGGACAACAATTCGGAGGATGAGCACATGCAGCCTGAGGCTACCGGGACCAGCTCTTCGCGGACGAGGCTCCGACACGAAGCTCCAAGTTCCCCTCATCTCTTGGATGAGGAGAGCCTGGCTATACCCATCTCCGGTAGCCTCACCGACGGCCATGCACACATTGAAAGACATGGCTCCTCGGACCTTCCCCACTGCCCGAAATACCGGAAGTACCAAGGGGCTTATGGCAAGCACAATAATGGCACCTCCTCGCATACCAGTACCTCAGGTTTCTCTGACACGTTCACTGAGAACAGCCCCTATGGACAAACTCGGTTGGTGATCACGCAGATCAAGAACGAGCCGCCGATGGTGGAAGACACCCTCCCGCTGTGCCTGTCTGGAGACGAGCAGGACTCCCGAGAAACCAATGGCGTGTCAGAGATGGAGACGGACTGCAGACCACACAGCCCCACATCCGTAGAAAGAACCTGGGACTCAAAATCACCCAACTGCCTCCATTCGCTCTTCAAGAAGGACGCCCGCTTAGTAGGTCTTCCCGATGCCTCGCAGCAGCTGTTCACTGACCGAATTTCTTGTCCCCAAGACAAAAGGGCTACTCAGGGTGACCACAAAAAGGATTATGGGTCATTTTCTGGGGAGTTGGGGTTGCCGGCAACATCCTTCAAGGAGGGTGATGGTTTCCCGATTGGGATCTCGTTGAAGGCAACTTCCTGCGACAGGGTCTGCAAGCAGGAAATGGAACTGGATCGCAGGAGTGTTATTTTTTCCTCAGGAGCTTGTGACCGTTTGGGAACCCCAGCACATTCTTATCCAGGAGGGAATGCTTTGGATAAGGAGCTCTCGGAGTTCATGCCAAAGGACGCAAGGGGTGGCACGAGTCAGTCCTTGCCATGCTCCCAGACATACTCGCCTGGCGCAACGGTGGCAGAGCCTCTGTTGCACTGCCGCTCACGTCCCAAATCCAGCTGCCCCGTGCCGATTAAGGTGTGCCCCCGGTCCCCACCCTTCGAGACCAGGACGCGCACCTCCAGTTCCTGCTCCTCCTACTCCTATGCCGAGGACGGGAGCGGGGGTTCGCCCTGCAGCCTTCCCCAATTTGAGTTCTCCTCGTCCCCCTGCTCCAACGCCACCCGCTGCCTAGCCACGGAGCACCAGGATCAAGGGATGGCCGGCGACGCCATCTTCACCCAGGTGCGCCCCAAGATCAAGTGTGAGCAGTCGTATGGCACCAATTCCAGTGACGAATCAGGGTCCTTCTCCGAGGGGGACAGCGAGTCGTGCCATGTGCAGGAACGAGGGACGGAGGTGAGTGGGAATGTCTGCATCTCACAAAGCATTAATCAAAGACTTTATCTCTTTTATTTTACTTTTATTATTGTACAGGCAAATATTTAGGCTCTACAATATGATCATCATTATCATTATTATTATTAGGGGTCATTGACTTTGTTCCTACTCAATGACATTTTCATTGTAGTCATGTGACCATCGTATATTACTAAAAAAAAATCTCAAAAATGTAAAATCCATAACTATGGTACAGTCATTACACACCACTCTTAATAAGAGCCTAAACTGAAAGCAAGCTTTTCAGTTTATGTGTCTCAAAATGTGCAAGGAGAAATTTGAAAACCATAGGATTTTTTTTCCCACTTCATCAAGCTGAGGTTTGCGGAACTTTGCTGTTTGGCATTAAATGAAATGCCTTGAATGCGCTTCCATTGACAAACATGCCGGTTTGTTTGTTCAGAAACGCAATGCGACTTACTCATGGATGACTCAAATTTAAGTAAATGCAATCTATGCTAAGAAAAGGTGGGGAAGCATTTTTCTGGTTCGTTCTGCTGATCTGCATTTCTCACCGTCTCTCGGGGACCGTTTCTGAACCCAGTACACGTGAGGGGACTGGCGAAGGTGCACCTTTCGTCACTCTTCCCTGAGGGCGGTGCAACCCATCTATGGAAGGCAGAATCTGCTGAGCGCCGCAGTCATGGCCAGCATGAATTCTCCTCTGCGATACGCTGGAAATTCGATTAGTTGAATATAAAGTATGCTTTCGTGAAGATGTCTTTCAGTCTTTCATGCACTTGCATCAGCTGTTGCTGAAAGTGCTTGATTTTGAGGCGTCTGTGTGTGTGTGTATGGCTACCTTGATTGATCCCTGTCTAGGGGTCCCCAAACTTTTAATATCCGCAGACTGGTTTACGTCTTAAAAAAAATGAACAGACCAGTAACACACCCGATCATGGAGGGGTACAGGCAGATTGAGTTTTATAACTTTAACCGTTTCCATTTTTTTAATTGAGAACTGAGTGTACACATGTGAGGGGCTATAAAAATCAAAAATGTATAGTTTATTTTTAGAAATGAACAAACCCTTCTGCACAACCCTCAGCATTTCACAGTCCAGTGGAATACTAGTCAGAGATCAGTACCAGTCAGCAGACCAGGGGTTGGGAACCTCTACTCTAGTGTTGTTTGTCTGATTTTGTAGATTGGGAGATGTGCACAACTCTTTTTTTCACATTCCTAATTCTAGATTTATGCTTTATAAGCTATTTCAAATGAAAGCATACTACTTTGACCTATTGATCTTGTCCTCTTCACTTTTTTTCCCCTCTCGTAGTATATGCAAAGGGATTTTCACTGAAATTGTTGAACTCAAAGCAGTACTTGATGTAAATGAAAAAATAGGTTGACACCGATGTCAGATACATCAACATAATGTGCTCTTGCTACGTCGATACTAACATTTTCACACAGGAAAATTACACTTCCGTGTATTATTTATACTATGGCCCTGGGAAAGCTGTCTGCTTCTCTAGTCGAGAACTTGTTAAGCTCTCGGAAGGAGATGTGTCTGTTGCCATGGAAATCTTCATTACTTTTGGGGTCTTCTTTCACTGGTGGTAGGGAAGTATGACAAGTCTGTGCCTCCAAGAATGGAAAGAATCTAGTAATCCTACACGATATACAACTCAAACCATACTGTGTAATTGCTACAGTATCACATCTGTCCACATCTATCCACATCTTCCATGGATGTATTTTTTAATGCCTGATCTATCCTCGAGTGGTCATAATCAGAACCAGAACTTGCTTTATTGCTGGTATGTACACACATACCAGAACTGTTTGTGGTCCAAAGCCAAACATGAAATACACAACAGTATTATAAGACACACAGGCAAACTTCTCAAAACACCATGTGTAAAAATACAAAGAAATAATAATCAGGGTTGCCAACTGGTCAGCTGGCTAGAGTGAGATTTTCAATTTGAGACAAGTCTGAACTCACATTTACATGTATGTAACATATTTATTACTTTGTAAATAGTCTGTAGGGTTCGCAAACTACCTTGAAGCTTTTGATGTAGCTAATTTTAGGTTTATAATGGAATAATACAGATTTGCCGTAAGATTTCTTGCATGAGCGTGGGAGTCTGAAAGTGGGTCACGCCAGATGCATGAGAGTTGGTAACCCTGAAGAATACGAAATTTACAGAACACGATTATACAGAAGACACAATGCAAGACATCTTAAGTCAGAGAACCATGAACGAACTAGTGCCAGAACCAAAGAAACAGTTGTGCATTGTAGTGGAAGTTTGTAAGTTGAAACAATGTTGCACATATACTGTGTCGGACAAGGGAAACAACGATCAGCAATGTCCAGCTCACCCTGGATGTTTTTTTAAGAATGAGAAAAACCTGGCTGCAGAGTTTCTGATACCATGTTCTCCATCAGCTTCAATAGTTCATCTATTTCTGTAACTCAACTCAACCCTGTGTCGGTATTGGTAAGGAAAACTTACAACAAGTGAATGTTTTTTTTTTTGGCCCTGCGATGAACTTATATGCTCACCAGTGTTTCCTGCCTTGTGCCATGTTCTTTCTGGGATAGACTTCAGATTTATCTGTTTTGTTATGCGTAAGTGGTTATAAGTGATTATTCAAGAAGGATGGATGGATGGATGGAATATATTTTTGGATTGGCAAGGTTGGTGCTGTGTACATTAGGACTGGTACAGTTTATTTTGTTGAATGACTGTACGCTATATCCATATCGAGGGCCAGTACGTCATTCCGCTTCATATGCTCCAGAGAACTCGACTTCTCGACAACGGAGAAAAGTACACTGAAACAGGAATCCCTGTCTACAGTGCTGCCACACATACGTGGAGCAAATGTCAGGCTCGTGTGGTTATCCTACAGGTTTTAAAAATAGCTGAGAGTCAAGACTGGAAACAACACAGTGTGCCGAGGAAGGAAATTGTTAAATAGTAGCTCAGACTACCCAAGTCGCCGAATGCCATGACGGGTCTTACAGCTGCCCTAACTAACGGGCTAAATCGACGCTCATAATTACATGCTTTAAAAAGGACTCGTAACCATTCCTCTAGACATGGGCAGACGGCAAATAAGAAACCATACGCAAAAAAAGTGGAAGGAATTAAATGTTACCTTTCGAGACTAAAGCGTTTTATAATTGTTGCATAGGTTTCTACTTTTACTATGGGACAATAGAAGCGAAATAGAATGTCAATGCAAATAAAGAAAATGATATTAATTAGCCTTCTGAAACCTCAATATAATTGATTTATGGACCAGTCGCCCTTGATATAGCTAACGAAGGATGCCGTCTGTCTGCCCAAGCGTTCAGACCAGGGAATTGCTCTTTTATTGCTGTTGATGTTCAGTTCAAAACCCTGAATGCCGTTTGTCAGCCTCCTGTGATGGTCCAGAATGGAGCATGACTGTTAAAGGCAACTAAGTGTCTGCCCAATGATGTTTGTGACAGCAATAGGCACTCGTATGTATCAGCTGAACCCAAGTCGTGCCTTTCGCTCAGTCTCTTTGCTGCTTATCGATCATGTCTCTCGAAAATATGGCTTTATTCCACAAATCTGTTTCAAATATGCCTCTTGGGTCCTGCTGTGAATAGAAACACCTCAGTTTGCCAAAGGAAATGGTACACATTCATCCAAGGCACGTAATCATGTAAGATGTATTATTTTTTATGTTAAGAGAGGAGCATGTTCTGCACCGTGGAATGACTGAGGTTGTAGACACATTACAGGCTGAACTATTAACAGGTGGCGATAGTGTTTTTTTTTTTTTACTTGCTACGCTCAGTATTAAAATAGCCTCCGTCTGAATGAGGCAACTTGACCTATTAAATATCATTGTGCTGGTTTGAAGGTCTGTCTCTGGTCATTCGGGAGGACCTGACGGCGAGTTCAACGTGCTGGGCTTTCTGTGGAGATGTTTGTGTTTCTACCCCCAGACTGAGGTTAGCAGAATGACCTTCATCTGTCACCCATCCACCCCCCTCCCCAACCCCCAACTCCCAACCCACCGGTAGACTGCCTGGCCCTTCAGAAAGTAGGCTAGGGATGTGCTTTACATCTGTGTATAACGGATGAGGCCTACTTTGCAGGGCAGACCCATTTACAGAGTAATGACCAGCAGCGTGTGTGTGTGTGTGTGTGTGTGTGTGAGGGGGGAGGGGTCTGAATTTATGACTACTACTGGAGCCCACTTTGTCATCCTAGCCTCATTACTGGACTAGTTCTCCTGGTATTCGGCTAAATATAAACATCTTCTGTGCAAAAGAAACTCACAAGGTCAAGGAGAGGGGGTATCTCATCTCTGACCATCTCACTTAAGCAGCCAGATTCCTCTTCTTTGTTGTCAGAGGGGTGCACAGACGACACAGAAATCAAATATTTACATGTGCATCTCATACCCTTAAATAGTCATCGCACCACGTATTCGACTTGCGGAAGAGGACCAGCTATTTTCAGCTGCCCAGGGTGAACGCGGTCTAAGATGACTGGCGTTGGGTCAGCCCAAAGGCCGTCTCCGAGACCTATTAATGCACGTTCACAGCGAAGGACGAGGCCTAGCCTAGCTCGTTTGGATTATCTTTTGGATTCTCGGCATTGGAGGGTGGGGGTGAAGCGGAGCGTTACCCATTTGAAACACTGCTGGGACCCCCCATCCCCCGCTCCTGCCTAAGCGATTCCACCAAGACCCAGCCTGCTGCTAATTTACTTTAATTAGGACTTAGGACTTCATAAGGTTTTCCCTTGCAGCAATGGTGCCCTCTCCTGGGGAGTCTCTGCAAGTTCAAGCTGAGGGGAAGTCACCCACACAAATATGAAATAAATCAATTCTGTGCTCGTTTACCACTGTTGGCCCAAATTACTCGAGAGCCCAGCTATGCAGCTGGCTTTTGATAAAAGCTCTAAGTAGCACACTCTTTTGGTAAAAATAAAATACTGATGCAATTTAATCAGATGTAAATATTCTAAGCTTCTAAGCTTTACGATATGTATTTTTCTCCCAGCAGGATTTTCTATAACGCTGGTGGCATATGGTCTCAAATGAAGGACTTAGAAGTATTAACTGCTTGTTAAGCTGCCTGCCTTGCTCAGGGTTTGTGCTAAGTTTGTTAAAATGCCTTTTAGGGAACTGCTCTCCACAACCTGCTAGAAAGTAGTGACGGGGGAAAAAATCTATGAACCCCTTGTCAATAGGAATACAAAAAACAGATAATTGTAATCAAAAATCCCTTAAAATGAGCAGTGTGGTGCCCTAGAAAATGCTGAATTGATTATTCGACAACTGACAGCACGCTTATCTGTGTTCATTCACCTGATGAGTTGCTTTGTGGTATTAAGTCTTGAAGAAGGATTTGTAAAGTCTTCCAGTCAAGTATTTTTATACTTTTGAACTGTGCCGCACGCTACCACAGGCTGTGCTAAGGGACCATCTCCATAGCAACCATGGAGTTAGTTTTATTGTACATGTGGAGTGACTGCCGTTTGAGGAGGTTTCTTCTTGTTCTGATCGATCCGCAGGCTTTTCTCTTTGGTCAAACACGCAGATAGATTCGTCTGCTAACCCTTTCTCTCTTTCAGTGAAATCACATGTGCGTAAGCTGTGTTTGTCCTTGCACCACAGGATTGGGAAATTGTTAACCTTCCATCAGCTACAAAACAAAAGTATGGGAGAATCTAATAAAATCCATGGTCTTATCTATGGTCTTGTGTTTGACAGCATTTATATTTTGTTACCCCTGCTGAAGACTGACTCTTTTTTTCTTACAATTCTCTGGCTCAATCTCTGGCTTACAGTCTTCCTTTGGTCATGTGTACTGGTTTGGTTCATCTAGTAGACGTTTTTGTTTAGAACATAAAAATGTGAACCATCCATATCATAGTAATGATATATTCTGGTGTTCTTTAAAGGTACAACGGTCACTGATACTTTACGATGTTTTCAAACGTGCTCAGATTTGGTGCTGTGCAGTTACTCATTTTTCTTTCCTGTGATATGAGGTAACGTAGTAATCTATGGTGATAGACGCTATCTACCAAAGACGGAGTTTGATGTTTGCATTTGGGGGGGGGGGGGGGGGGGGGCATCTTGCTTACCCTATGTGTTAATGCACGTATCTGATGCACACATAACCTATTAATTTGTCTACATAAAGGGTACCAACAAACCGTTTATGCAAAGATGCAAAATGCCATTTAATTGCAATTTCAACTCAGGCGGCTTGGAAGGGCATTGTTCCCTGGTCCCTCCACCATAAAACAAAACTTTGGCCATGCTATGTACGCATTTTTAATGTCTGACTATCCAGTTAGGTAAGTACCGGAAATAAGGCAGGACTCACTAGAGGCAGGTGTTCCGTCCTCCACAAGCTTAACATCCACAGGCATTAGGGAATTTTATTGGTGAGTTTGTCCTTACATGTGACCAAGTTCGATCACTTTTCTTACTGTATGTTTTCTCGCAGGTGAAACTTCCTTTCCCGGTCGACCAGATCACGGATCTTCCACGCAATGACTTCCAGATGATGATCAAGATGCACAAACTGACCTCGGAGCAGCTAGAGTTCATCCATGATGTCCGGCGCCGGAGTAAGAACCGCATCGCGGCTCAGCGCTGCCGTAAGCGGAAACTGGACTGCATCCAGAACCTGGAGTGTGAGATCCGCAAACTGGTACGCTTTGCAGATAGATGAAAACTTCAAGCCCTCACTGCAGTGAAACTGTAGATGTAAGTTTAGCTTAGGATATAGGTAGTGATAATGTTGCAGTTTAGTCCAGACTACATCAGAGAATACCTGTGAAAGTGGGGCAGTATAGTCACATTACAATAAAGTACTGGCAATAGAAATGTAACCATTTACCCAGAGTACAGAGAGTAAAAATGTAACATATTGGCCCAACAGCCAATAGGTTTGGGTCAAATTTTTGCTATGAAAATGTAACAGTTTTGCAGTGGATATGTGGTAAGTATAGACAATATCAGTGTCCATAGTATTTATAAATAGACGTGTAATCATTTGGCTAGAATATATATTATGTAATACTAAAGCCCAAAGCACAGGCTCATGGGAGTTTTACTTACACAAATATGTTGAGGGCAGAACAAAAAAATGATTGGTTCAGAGTGACAACCAATCAGATTGTAGAGGAGGTGGGTCCAAGCAACTAGAGGCGGCAGGACCATGACATCTGATTGGTTGGTTCCGCTTCCTCTAGTTGCTTGGGCCCACCGTCTCTACAGTATGATTGGTTATCTCTCTGAATCTTCTAGTTGCTTGGACCCATGTCTACTACTGTATGGTG